AGAGAAGGAAAAAGAGAAAACTTGATGACACAAGGCTTTTCATCATATCTAATCTTTTTTACGATTGAGATTAGCAAGTCATTCTTCAATGATTGGTTAACAGCTTCTTTTGTTCATCATAATGTGAATTGAGACTATCTTGCAACTTAGCATGTCATTTTCCTGTCCCAGCTTTGGTATTTTTATTTTTCTGCATATTACTACTTTAGCCTACTTATATTTCCTCTCAAGTAATTGTTAATTTATAAAGAACTCCCTCTGCAGGTATTTCCTGTGGAGTTCAATAGAAATTCTTAAAAGGAAGAGCAGAAGTTGTTTAATGTTTCTATTTCTTTTTTTTTTTTTTTTTTTTTAATTACATAAAATGTTCAAGTAAATAAGCTAAATTGGCATTTTTATGCAGGTCAACTTTATTTTTGCTATGTCCTTTATTTTTGGCAGCTTTGCTAGTTTTAAAACCGTTATTTACTGTAATTATTTTCTTAAAATACATAAAATAAAAACTATTTTTTCTTTTTTTTTTTCTTTTTCTTTTTCTTTCTTTCAAAGACTAACTTTTTGGCTTGTTTTCAAAATATTTTGACCTACTTTTTCTAAATGTATTTGTTAAATTTCTGTTAGAATTTGAGTTTTTTTTGGGTGTCATCAGGAAGAGGTTAGTGCCAACATTTTATATGATGGCCAGACTGACCTCAAACTGAGTAATACATTTTGGCCATCATATGATCTTATGCTTAATTTAATAATTTTTCTATGTCTTTATATTTTTACATGTGAGTTAATGATTGAACTTTTACTTTACTAAAGATCGAACTTTTACTTTACTAAAGATCTATGTGTGACCATTTATTTATTAAAATATTTTTTGGCTAATTGCTGACCTCATTGACTTTATGAAGTGATTTTTTTTGCTCATACTGGACTCTATTCATCTTTTTTTTTTTATTTTATTTTTTTTTATTTTTATTTTTTTAAGAGCATGTTATTTTAAGAATCTGTCAATTTTTTTTTTCATTTACTTTGGTTTTTCTTGTTTTATCACTCGGTTTTTTCATGATAAATGATTTTTTAAAAGGTTTTTTTTTTTTTTTTTTTTTTTTTTGAAGGAATTAAATACTTCATGCCATTAACATGTGCTTCTTGCCACACCCCGACATTTGCATTTTATGTGTGTGTGTTGTCTTTACTGAAGCCCCCCCCCCATGGACTATTAAAAGAAGCTCTGCTAATTTCCCAGTTTTACTCCTAATGAATTTCTCTTGCACATGTTTTACCTTCAAGAGAAAATCAATGTTAAATATTTGCCAGATGTTACCTCCCTCTTTCTTATCCCCATTTTTTTATATACACAAATACGTGGCAAGTAACACCTTTCCCTATTCCTTTATAGAGAAAAACATTAATATTCTTTCTTTAGAGATAATATAAGAACTTTCTTTTAGCCTCATATACACACACAGTGATTTAAATATTTAAAAAATTCCTCATGAAAACATTGCCTCCAAATTTAGTGATCTTTTTTTTTTTTAAATAAACATACATACACATATATATATATAAAATATTACCATGAACTTTTAAAGTCTCCGCTTGTGTGTGTGTATATATATATATATATATATATATATATATATATATATATAATGTCATCTACAAACACTGTTTTGCTGTATCACAGCTCTTCGATGTGGCTAGACACACAATTGCTTCAAGCCAGGATTGAAACACAACTGATTTGACATCAGTCGGAGACTTTTACCCCAAGGCTATCATACCATACCCACGCTACTGAGAAAGGGAATTTTTAATGCATTATATACGTGATATAAGCATTGTCAGATGCCAGATTTTATTAAAAATATTTAATAAAATCTTCCAACTTTCATAACAAACTAACAGGATAAATTTTTTTTTTTTTTATTATACAAAATGCCAGATTGGTGGTTTCTTTACTTTCTATTTCTCTCCTCTCAGAAGAGTATATAATCCTGCATGCTTCTCACTAAATCTCTCACCCAACCACTTTTTTAATATTTGACAGTACAAGTTTAAGTTTGTAAAATATAAAAGGTGAATTAAAAATAGATCTTAACTACTTTCCATTTTTCAAGTTTCAGTTATCCAGAAAAATCACTGGATAACTTTTTAAGATGCTTGAAAGCAACATTATTTATACATGTCTTCTTGACGTGATTTTAAACAAACATGAGAAAGTTGATTAAAAACTAATCACTTGATAACTTCCTCTGTTAAAGCATTATTTGAGTATACAGCAATAATAGAATATTGATTTTGATCGTATATCATCATACTGTTATATCAGTTGATAGATCTATTGTCTTTTATTTGTAAATTTCTATATTCTTGCATCCAGTCAGTCCATTAACTTGCATTACCAATCAAAGTTAGCAAATAGGTTTTTGTAGGGTGGGACTGCATGCCCCCTCATCTACCTTTTTGCTATTTTTTTTCACATTGCTGAAGAAGGGGATTAATTGCTTTCTCTCCTTTTTGAATTCAAAGTTGTCCTTCTCTTAAACTAGTTACAAACCAAGGCTAAATAGCATAGTCTGCCTTACTCTTTTCCATATAGTTGGGGTAATATGGCATTAGTACAAAGTGGGCACAAATTATCTCTGCTGGAATTTGAACTCTGCTTGCCAATTTCATTTTCTGAGTTGTCAACTGTTAGGTGTCTGTTTGATATTTTAATTGTATATAATTGTTACAATTCTCTGTCTTACCATTAAAGAGATAAAAAGAATTTTCTTCATCTGTAGGATTTTCAAAATGACAAATACCAGCTGATTTACTGATGGAAAAAAATGTTCTGGTATTTTTTGTTATTGGCAGTATTTCAGTTCCTGTTGGGTAATATGTAAGAAAATCCTGCATCAAAGCTAGAAATAGCACCAATATCCAGCAATGACACAATCATACAATAATATGCCCTTTACGAGAAGAAAAGATTTTCTAAAGAAGTAATGAATTTTTTATTTATTAATCTGAAAGATTTTTATCACTTTAAATATTCCTTTTGTTTGTTTGTTTGGATACAAAACTGAGCAGATATGATAATTTTAGCAGATCTATGACAAGTATGATTTCACTGACAAGCACTGTTCAGACCTTGTTTGATCAGCACTGCTTCATGGCTGACTCAGTTTAGACATGTCAGATCTAACGACAGTTACTCTCTGCCCAGAGGTGTCACAGGTTTGAATCCTACCAGAGAATGCATATTTTTCTTTAATAAGATGTCTTGAATATTCAGGCAGGTAGATGAAAATAAATAAGTATAATGTTTAATAAATAAACTGAGTAGATACTCAAATGTAAGTATCGACTAAAAATAACGTTTAAAATGATAAAAATATATAAAGTGCAACAAATACCTCCTGCTTGTACCTCTCTGAAATATCTGCCATATCATGGTAAGACATTAGTTAGATGAAGGCACCATTGCCACTAATGTCTTACCATTAGTAGGAAGTTTTTTTCCTATATGCAAATACCCTCAGGGAAAGGTATTAATCCATCTTATGGGTTGAATACCAGGACAGACTGGACCCTGTCAGCAACCAGTCTATCATAGAGAGAAATGGTAATGTACTGTGGGGTTAATCTTCTGCCTAGTAAGTCATGTATCAAAGGAGATTATGCATGGCACTTAATTGACTGAATCACTTTTAACATCACCTCATTGATTATCAACTGTATGGTGATGACCTGCAGGTGTGTTTTTTTTTTGTTTTTTTTTTTTTTTTTCAACCATTCATTTGTGTGCTTGATCATCACTGGGTGTTTGATTATGTTCTTGGGCTAAAACTGGTTTGCTTCAGCAAATTTAGAAGAATGCTTGCTATATATACTATCTTTTGCAAACTATTGTCAAAATTCATGGTCAATGAAATTAATCCTTGGAGACTGAATATTATTGCTTTCAGGTTACACAGTTAAATTTTGCAATAGTCTACAGTAGAACTAAAAATCTATCATTGATATAAGTATTCTAACCTTTTATGGTATTAATACTTGAATTTTTCACACCTGACAAGATTTTTCTCTCTCAAAAACTGTTTTCTGCTTCCTTGCTGAAGTAGGATAAAGAGCCTCTTATTTCATGAGTCAAGTATTTTACAGATGACAAGTTTTGTTTTTTATTTTTTTTCATTCAGTGCATTAACCTTTGTAAAGTTAAAATAGTAAAAAAAAACAAAATGAAAGACATTCTTTCCCCCCCATATACAGAAAATTTTTAGGTTTCTGGGAACATAAAACCAAAGAAATAGGAGCTGCCATTATAATCTCTGATCTCATGGGAAAAGGAAAATCTTGTCTGATTCTCATACTAACAAGACTAAATCCCTTCCTTTGTCTCTGTTGTTTTAAAAAATGACTGTTCTATGACAAATGTAGATATGTTGACATAATTATGTACCTAGCTGTGTGTTTGTATCAGAGTAAGAGGTTGGGGGAGGAAGACAATTATCTGTAAATTTGAAAGCAATTGGTTTGCTTGGAGTTATTATAGACTGGGCTGTTATCATACAGGGACTGGGTGATGAGGCTAGTGTGGTTGTAATCTCTCTCTCAGCAACATTATAACTCTAGGTTTAGTGGGTCATACTGCCAGCCACTGGGAGTCACTTGAAAAGGAAGTGTAAAACATATTCTCTCTTTCTCTACCTCAACATATACTGTGTGTGTGTGAGTGAGTGACTAAGCGAGAGAGAGAGAGAGTAAGTAAGTAAAGATTAGAAAACATTTCTATTTTAAAGAAAGGTAGTGGAAAATCTAAACATACTTTCTTATATAAATTCTGCTTGTCTAAATAGGGAGAAATCATTAATAAAAACTCTTCCAAAATTATTTGGATTATCTCTTGAGCACTTGCTTTGGTACCCTTTTTTTTTTTTGTTGTGCCCCCCCCCCCCATTATTTTACAAATCGAAGTTATTCCCATTTGCTGTTACAGAACCATTTAATTTCCTTTTCAGGTACCCCAACTGTAATACTCTTCTAAATAATCCAGCTTCACCAGGAGTTACGATACAGTCACAAGAACTCTACCAGCTGGCTCAATACCTTCAGGTAAGTACATGACAATAACCTTTCAAAGGTATTATTTTACTTACTTTTTGTCCATAGGGAAGCAACAGGCTTTTCTAAACAACACTATTTACGATTGACTCTTACCTGTGTTCCCTGTTGATGATAATTTTACTATTTTTGATCATATTTTTTTCAGTTTTTTTCTCCTTTCCTCATCCAGCTGTAAGACAAGGGAAATATATATATATATATATATATATTTTTTTTTTTTTTTTTTTTTTATTTAATATTGTTTTAATAGGTCTTGTAATATTAAATTTTATACTTTTATTTCGATCATTAAATTTTGTACCTACAAAAATATCTTTAAATATATATATATATATACACACAAAAAAAATTGTTTAGTATTTTCAGTTGTAGAAATCTTTTTTATTTCTTAATTTGGAACTATGGTGTGGACTATTGAAGTCGCCCTCCTGTTTATTTTTTTTATCATATATTTATTATACAACACATAACCTGTATAATAAGAAATTTTAAGTATACACCTAAATTATTCCACTATTGACAATTTCATATGTAGACATGTAATCATCAGGTGGCAAAGGCAAATCACTTTTTTTTTTAATATATAATATAGCAAAGATTAGATTTTTAACTTTTTATGGTGATCTGAATATTCTGATTATTGATTTTAGAGTTTTAATCTTGCAAAAGAATATTTTAATCACATGTTTTATTTCTGGGGATCATAATGAAATTGTTTAAATATTTGTTAGGAATTTCTTTTCTACTATAATTTGTTTTTGTATATTTTGGAACATTTGTTTTGTATTTATTTACACTTTGCTGGTAATAACCTAAGATTCTCTTTATTATGCACAGATTTGCATAGAAATTAACTTTTCCAAACCATTCTGTTCATTTAATTATGTACAAATAACAAATGGAAATTTTGAAGTATATCAGCTGTTTAGCGAATATCTCGGATATTATGAAGTTTTCTTGTCTGAGGTTGATTATTAAAAGTACTTCATAGTATTATTAGTGATCAGATATCATCAGGATATTGATCAACAAAATATAATTGTTTTTAAAAAAAAAAAAAAAAATCTTTTTTGGTATTAAGAAAATATTAAATTTAGAATTGTAAAGTTTAATGCATTTAAAATATAATTCAGTATCTAATTATATTAATGAATTAATCATGTAGTTTTTAAATATTTTCTAAACATACATAGTGTTTTTTTTTTTTTTTTTTTGTTGTTGTTGTTGAGGCAAGACCAGGATTAAACTTGCACAAAGTAAGGTGGGTCCTACCTGACAAAGGATTTGTCAAAATGGCTGAAAGCAAGGTTTTACAAGGCTGGATGCTCTTCCTGATGCCCAACTCGGACACAGTAGTCTAAGTATACTGAGAGTTTTTATAGACACACCATTTCTAGGAGGTTGCCATGCAAGGCTCGAGACCCCATTCTAGGCATATATATATATATATATATATATATATATATATTTTATTCAAATTTAATTGATTTAAGAATACTTCTTAATTATGCAATGTTGCCACAAAATAAATACTTTGTTTATTCATTTATATCTACTTTTCCTATTTTTTTTTTTTTTTTTAATATGAAAAAATTCCTTTTAAAGCTTTGAGAATCATTAACATTCCAAGTTGTGTTCAAACAATTGCCATCCTTCCTTGTATTGTTGCCACAATGTTTTGGCTGACTCCTTCTTCAGCCATCTTTGTGAATAGCCTGTAAGGTTGAAACCTTTTCTCTTTCTTAAGGACTATTTACCTGAAGAAGGCTGTACAATGCAACAGCCAAAATGTTATTTCAATAATATGAAGGAGTCCAGTTGTTCAAACTCCTTGTACCTTTAAATATTGTGGAGAAAATTTGAATTTAGACCTAAATATTAAATAAAATAAATAAATCACATTCTTTTAGTAAGACATTGTTCCAATACTCATTACATATGACATCATGCTAGACCTTTTCAAATGTCCTGCTCCCCAAAGAATATCAGGATATAGACAAATAAATTCTCTCTATCACACACACTAAATTTGTTTTTGACAATGACTGCAATACTCGAAAATTCTTGAACAAAAATAACAAGATATGAACTACAGGCAGTTTAACCACAACTCTGAGCCCAATACTTAACACCTTATACAAAAATTTTAAAAATATAATAAAAAATTAGGCAGACCTTGTTGATTATTTTTAATCAAGTGTGTATATATATATATATATATATATATATATATATATATTCAATCCACTATTTTAAAAACTAATATTCACATGGCTGACTTGAAGGGCATTGGATTGTTTGCCACAATTCCTAAACACTGTTGAAGTGCTTGGCTGAACATTAATTACTTGTCAGGAAATTGGCTAGTAGAAAATTGTGAATTGAGGAAATTGGTAATCAGTAGCCAAGGAAAAGATGATAAAGAAATAAACAATACGAATCTTGCCTAAAGTGATAGCTGGGAAACATCTGTTAGAGAACCAGTACCCATCCAGTTGAAATGGGAGAGCAAACAAGGAAATAGCATTCCATGGAAATTGGCCATTTTCTTTGGATTATCTCATGGGAGAAAGTGAATGGCAATGCTAATGGCTGCTTGGAATGAAGGGTTCTTCAGTTGGAGCAAGGGGAATACTCACTTATTTTGGATATTCAAGACTTTTCCATAATGAAAAAAGATTATTTTTCCTCTTTTTTAAGTCTTTTGATGATCTACACAAAGCCCATCCTAATAGGTTGGTTTTGTTTTGTGAACCTTGAGCTTACTTGTGAATGATAAACAGATCCAATAAGAATGTAATGTGCTAACAATCATTAGGTTATTTTTTTCTTCTAAAAATGAATAAACAATATACTTATTTATTTTTTTTTATTTTTATAGTATCCAAAACTAAAATTCCAAATTTGCACTCTCCTGGGTATGCTGATAAACTACATCTACCTCCTGGGTAAAGACGATAAACTATATCCAACAGCAAGGCCTCTGATCAGTAGGTTTTGAGGAGTGTTGAGCCACCTCTTAATTGCTGGTGTTCCCAGATCCACCCTGCCCCGGGGTGGTAGCACCTGTTAGGATCCCGGCTATGGGCAAATAATTACCCCCCCCCCCTCCTCAAAAGCAGTCAAAAAGCTATGAAAGTGTAAAAATAGGTTTTAATATTAGCAATACATTATTGGGAAGAAATTACCAGCAGTACATTTTTGATTAAAAATTTTTTACCAGCAACAAAAATCTTGTCAACATTATAAATAACCCATTGAGGTTGATATTTTGTAAGCCAAACCAAACTTGCATGTAAAGTGCAAGAAAGTAAGTTTGGCTTTAAGTAATTCTTGTTGTGAGTATGCTGACTGATGCTGAAAAGTTTGTGGCCCAACTCACTTTGCCAAAATCTGACCAAATTATCATGCATCTGATTGGGGCAGGGAATTTCTTAGAGGGACTGATAACTTTTCAGTAACCTTGTGTGTGCACACATGCACATGTCTTAGACACATACAAATGTGAAACTGGCAGTCCTTTTTTACATTTCTTAATTCATATTATAGTAGCTCTACACTGAGCACTGTTTTTAAACCAACGCTGTGATAGCCAGTTTATCATTAATACCACGTGTTATCTATTAGTATTATCATATACATAAAATCTGGAAATTTAGAGGGTGCCCTTGAAGTCTGGACACACAGGCAAAAAAGCATATTTTCAAGAAATGAAATTTTCAACATTTTATTGAATTGGAATATTAACAAATAACCTTTTCAATATGATTGCCATCGTTTGTGATGCAAAGGTTGATGTGCTTTGTAAGATTCATGTGAACACTGTACAATAACTCAACATTGCTATCAATTTTAGCATATTCACTCTTTATGCATTCAGTCAAGTATGTTGCATCTGTGATTATCATTGAGTACACCTTTAGCAGACCCCAGAAAAATAACTTGATTCTTTCTTTCAACAAAACCAGGTAAAAAAAAAATTATAGTTAGAGATTTCCTATGTTTCTAGACTTTATGATATCATGTATTTAAAAAAAAAAAAAAAAAAAAAAATTGATAACTAAAAAAATAATTTTTTTAGATTTTATTTCAGTAGTACAAATAAATCTTTACTGAAATTTAAGAATTCTTTGTACTGTTTTATTATTTTTGTTGTAAATTATATAAGACAAATTTTTTTTTTTTTTTTTACTTAGTTCTTTATTTGGGTCTGAAAAAAATAAAATGAGAACATTTTAAGCCATTGCCTGTGTGTATTTCAATACTGCATGTTTTAGTGTTTTTGGGAGGACCATGTCTTGAAAATTTCCCAAATAACAGACTTTGGTGCGTTTTCATTTTTGGAAAATGAGTTTGCAGCTTCTATTACATCAATTTAATCAGTCATGTCTTTCCATCAAACTTCCAAATTGCTTTTCATCCATAGCTGATCATAAATGTTTTAACTCTTAAGCACTGAAAAAATTCTTTCACTTTTAGTGTTTGCAGTGGGTGCTAAGAAAATGAGTTTGATGTGCTTTTAAGACTTCACTAATAATACTTCTTTGTGCTACGCTTTCTCACCTTTTCAAATATTGTTAGATTTTTTAATTTGAATTGGTGACATTTTTAGTATGGAAATTTAACACTAATTTTCTTTAATCTTCATTAAAAAATCTTCCAAAAATAAAACATACTTTTCTGAAACTTTATTTGAGGAATATTAGCTAATTTAAAGTATAATTAATCTGATTTGAAACAACTATTACTTATTTTAAGTTTAAGATATTGTAGAAATGCATTTTTAGCCCAACAGTAGCTGTTTATTTAAAGAGTTAGCATTCTGACAGTTTAATGAAAGATCTAATATTTTCTACAAAGGCCATATGTGAAAAAACTTAAGTAAATGGCATCATTGCCTTTTATATAATATTTAAGTATACAGTAATCTTAAAAATTAAGGAATTTATTCTCTGTAATCTAACATTTATTGACATTAATAAATTTTG